TTTTGACTGCTACAATATTTATTGTACTATTTATTTTAAAATACAACTAAAGGGTATATTTTTTCTTAATAGTGTAGAAATAGTTCATTTGTTATATTCTTGTAAAAATGAAACGAAGTTACGCTTTTTTTACTTCTTTTCAAATTTTTATATGAAAAAAATGTGTTTTTTACATCGGTCAAATCTCAATTTTAGAGATAAATCTTATGTTCGTTAAGCTTTTATGTAATCTTTTTTTTTACTTTTAAGAAAATGGCAACATACGAAGGAATTGAATAAGAATTAAAAGATGCAAAAGCAGAGTATCAAGAGGTAAAGGAGAAGTTGAAAACATTTGAAAATGGGGAGGATAAATAAAAAAGATTAGTAAAGTTGGAAGAAAAGTTGGATGATGAAAATTACAGGAACAAAGAGCAGAAGGAAAGGTAGAAAGGATAGATAGATGAGCTGAAAAAAGAAAAGAAGTCATTGGAGGTGGAGAAGAAGAGGTGGAGAGATCAGGTGGAGTACTTACAAAAGAAACTAGTTGAATTTAGAGAAGGAAAAAGTAACGAACAAATTGCATAAAAAAAAATTTTTTTCATTTATTTTATTTTATTTATTTATCATTTATACTAATTTCCACTTTATTTCTTTCTTTTTCCTCTTTATTATTGTAATAAATAAAATGCAAAATTATATAATTTTTTAGAAAATGAATGATTTTTTTATCTATTCATTTATTCATTTTATTTTCTGTTTATTTACTTTCCATTGCTACTTTTGATTGATATTATAAAAGGTGTTGAGAAAGATCAAGGTAACAACTATTTACACACTCTTAACAATTTATGTCCATTTATTTTGCATATATTAAATTTTCTTATGTTTTACAGAAAGTGTGTAAGTAGAAATAAAATGTAAAAATGAAAGTAAGTTTATTATTTACTACAGACTATAAAAAAATCATTTTTAGTATCAACTTTATATTATATAACAACACTCTCTTTATAGGTCAGAAAGAGAATTTAACAAAAGTTTGTAGAATGGATCCTTCTTCATCAGTTGCTGCATATCATGAATTTTTTAAACAACAAAGACAAGAGATTATTTTGAATGGTTGTCTACCCAATTGTATTAGTTCACCAATTTTCTTATATCATAAGGTTTTTTCAAAATTTTCTTCTGATTTCAATAATAAAAATCTTGATTTATTAGATGGGCTTTGTGCATGAACAAGTAAATTAATTAAGGATATGGCTAATGAATACGTCAATGAAAATTCACATAAGAATGCATTTATCAATCATATTACTGAATTTATTGGTAAGCTTATTGAGATAAAAATTGAGGATGGAAGTAGCAATTATAGGATATTATTGGTAGAAACTGCTTATGGTGAAAATGGATTATGAATTATTCATGAAATTAAAAATGAAATTGTGAAGGAGAAAGTGATCTAATAATTCAAGCAACTCTTTTATATTCAAAATACTGGGTCCAAAAACAGGTATATATTTCCTATATATTGATAATATCTATAATGCATTTTCTTTCATTAATTATTAATTAATTATTTCTAATATAGCGTGATAAAATCTGAGCTATATGCAATTGTTCATCAATACTTGCTGTTGCAGGTCTATAGATCTGTATTCTGGGAGGTATTTATACTTCTAATCCTATGATTAGTTCTCTTACTGATTTCATTCCAATGATACCTACTCTTGATGAAAAATGCTATCAACGTATTGCATGTCTTTTTCAAGCATTATACAATATAGACCAGTATTTAAAAAACTTTTATCAGGAACTTGATATATCCAAACATGTAAAGATTGAGAATCCTCAACGATTTTATTCATATCCTCATCAATATGTCACAGATGATGATATAACAGTACAATTTACTTATGAAGATTGGTTGACAAAAGACAAATCAAAGCTTTTATTCAAGGGAAAAACTTATAATGGATGTGAAATTGTTATCAAATTTACTCAGAGATATAATGCTAAAGCACACCATCTTTGTGTTAAAAAATACCTTATACCAAAACTTTTTTGTGTCAGCAACATCAATTTGGAAGGATGGTACATGATTGTAATGAAATATATTAATAATAAAACATTACAGACTGCAAACATTACAAAAGAGGAATATAATGATATTTTAAAAAATATTCAAGAGGTTATTAACACTTTGCATACTAATGATATTATTTTTAGTGACTTATATAGTTCAAATATAATGATAGAAAAGGTTGATAGAAAGTTACAAGTAATGCTTATAGACTTTGACTGGGTTGGAATACATCAAAAAGATCATTATACACCTATAATGAATCCAGAAATTAAATGAACAAGTGGAGCTGAAGGAAATGCTTTAATGCATAAAGATTATGATTTACACTGGTTAGATATATTAAAAAAAAAGTATGAATATTAGTAAAATGTTAATATTGAGGATTATTTCATGATTGAATTTTTTTGATATTAATATTAATTTTATTATAGGATTTTTTTAATATTTTAGCAAATATCATAAGAATATAAAATTAGAATTTCATATTTTTATTTTTACAAAATAGACATTATTATAATAAATTTTTTAAATTTTATGCAACAAGTATTAATGTATAAATGTGGTAATATTTAATAAAACCTTTTAAAAACAGTAAGTTGAAAATGCACTGTGGAAGTATAATTTCATGTATTGTTCTATTTGTTATGACAATGATAAATAATTATAAAAAAACCTACAAAGTGAACATAAAATTATATATATAAGGATAAATGTATATGAAAAATATTAACAAAGATAATAAATATAATGGTTCTAATGAATATTAAAAAGCAATTGATTTATAAAAAAAGGATGTGATTGTAGTTGCTTTTTCAGAATTCTTAAGGAATAATTTGCAGAATTAAGAGAATCCTTTCAAGCTCTTTCTAAAGTAGAACAAGACATATTTTTAATGGTTCAACTTAAGGCAATAGATAGTAGAACAATAAGCACTAGCAGATGCTTTAAAAAGAAAATTAGATCTAATAAAAAGACTTTCTATCACTGAAATCACAATATATTACTTTATCAAGAAACTTATCTTAATATATTAGGAATTGGCAGGACTTACTTTGAAAACATTAGAAATCATCTGATAAATAATGGTTTTTTATCAAGAATTTATGGTAATATTAAAAGAATGTTTCAATGGAAAACCAAAATGATGATTGATAAAAATGTTGCTGAAGTAGTAAAGAATTTTTTAGAAAATTATGCAGAAGTTTATGGATTACCAAGTCCAGAAAGAAGTATCAATAGAATAACTCAATCAATTGTATTTTTACCAGCAGAGATGAGTTACAAATTAGTCTATAGAGATTTTCTGGTTGGTCTAGAAGAAAATAGTAACTTAAAATCCCTAAAATATGATGCATTTAGAAAATTATGATATTAATTGATATCAGAGGTTCAAATTATGAGTCTCAGAACTGATTTGTGTGATACTTGTTAGCATTTTAGAGATGGTTTACACTATAATGCTTGCCAAGAGAAAGAAGCTAAAAAATTATTCAAAAGATTTAAAGAACATTTATTCAAGACCAAAGTAGAAAAAAATTATTATAATAAAAATACCAAATTAGCAAAAGAATAAAAAAAATTAGTTAATCAACATTATTCAAAGGGTAAAACATAATATTGCAGTATTGATGCTACTGCCTATTATAGTTATAATTAAACCCAAAATGTTTATGTATCAAATTTAGATTAACAAGTAAGTAAAATATATTACCTTAGTCTATGTAAAGTCTATTTGTTTGATATTCAAAATGAAGTAGTAAGAGAGCAAATTAATTATGTTCTTAATGAAGATAAAATTATAGAAAAAGGATCAAACAGCACACTTAGTATGATCTTTGATGGAATTAAGAAATTGAATAAAGATGAAAAACATTTAAAGATTATTTTTGATAATGCTGATGGACAAAATAAAAATAATGTAACAATTTGATTTATTTGTATCTAGTAATTTATAATTATTATAAAAGTATTGAATTAAATTTTATGATTTCAGGACATACTAAATTCAAATGTAATAGTAGCTTTGGTTTAATAAAAAAACTTTATAGAAAAACAAGAGTAAATTGTCTGGATCATATGATAGAGATAATAAAAAAGTCTAACCCAGCAGGATTGAATAAAGCTTAATGTTATAAAGATAGAAAAGGTTTTCAATACTTAGATATCAAATCTATTTTAGAAATTTATTTTAAGAAATTACCAAGCATTCAAAAATATTAACATTTTCTTTTTGAAGCAACTAATCTTGATACAGTGAAAGTTCAAGAAGTTGCTAATAGAACTTTTGCTAAATTCAGTTTATTGAAAATCAAGAAAGCAGATATTTTTGAAGAAATTGGAACTTTATCTATTTTAGTATTAATACTATCTCCTTTGGATTATAAAAGATAAGAATATCTTTACCAGAATATTTGTCCATTTGTTAGAGATGAATTCAAAGATATTACTTATTTGAAACCAAAATGAATATATTAAAATATATTTATATATGCAACTATAATAAAATATGTAACTCTTTCTCATCACAAATCTCCAAGAATATGAAAACCCTCATTGACTAAATAATTGGTTAAGAATAAAGATTAAACAAGAAGAAAAGAATTTTAACAATTTAGCCAGTATTAAAAAAATATATTAGAACTCTTTGTTTATTCAATAAGGCTATACTGGTAAAGTAGTAATAGAGAACTTTTCTGATTTAATTCAATTAAATTTTGGTAATAATAAATTAAAAGAGATTATTATTCGCAATTGTCTGACTTAAAATTAATTCAAGTAACACACAATAAGCTTATTAAGTTAAAGATAAAGAATTGTTTTTTTGTTCAAGAAATCTACCGTAAAGTATTGACTAAACTACCCTGAGTTTTTTACAAATTCACCCCTATATTTGCAAAATACCCAGGTAGTTTAATCAGTGGTATTTTGTATAAAGGGGGTATCTTATATGGATTAAATGCGCTATGTTGATCATGATATAAAATAAAAAATTTGTAACGCGTTTCACTTTGTGTTGCTTGGTATTTATAATTAGACCTCCTAATAATGGTTGTTAAAGGAAATAAAAGAACTTCTTGTTCTAAAATAACTCTTAAAAAAAATGATAATAGTGTGTTCGTGAAAAGCTAATGGTTTTACATTTTTTGAACTGGTCTGGTAGTATTTATACAACTGCAAATTATTTTGGCTTATAACCAAGTCAGATTCGTGATTGAAGACATAAAAAAGATCAACTTAAAGCTTTAGCACCTTATTTATTAAAGTTGCATAGTGGTAGACAGCCATTCTTTCCAGATTTAGAGTAAGAGTTAGCAAAGTGAATTTTAGATTATCGTACATAAAGTTTACCAATTACTAGAAATATGGCAATAAAAAAGGCTAAAGAACTTGCACAAACTGATAATTACCAAGAAAAATATCTAAATATTTTTTCCTTTAAATTTTTAAGTAAATGGATGAATTGTTTTATGGTTCGTCATAATCTTTCAAATAGATGAAGAATAACAGTATCTCAACATTTACCAGAAGATTTACTTGAAAAGCAGCAAAGTTTTTTAAGTTTGTCCTATATAGAAGAATACAGCATGATTATCTACTAAAATTTATTGGAAACATAGATAAAACACCTGTAGCTTTTGATTTACCTAATTCATATACCTTAGAAAAATGCAATTCTAGTTCTATTAATATTAAAACTACAGGTCATAAAAGAAGCACCTTTACAGTTATTTTAAGTTGTATGGCTGATGGATTAAAATTATCACCTGTTATTATTTTCAAATTAAAAAACATACTTTGAGAAACTTTTCCAGATAGCATATTTGTTAGAACAAATGAAAAAGGATGGATTAATGAGGATGAAATGAACTGGTAGGTAGAAAATATCTGGTCTAAAAGAATCACTGATTTATCATCAAATCCTAGATCACTTCTTGTTTTGGATTCTTTTTGTGAGTACTTAATTAATTCTGTTAAACAAAAACTTAAAGAAAAAAAAAAATATAGCTGTAATTCCTAGTGGATTGACATCTAAGCTGTAACCACTTAATGTAGCAATTAATAAAAGTTTTAAATCTCATGTAAGTTTTATTTATGCTTATAATATATTATAGATATTATTATTAAATTATTAAATAATAATTATTTAAATTATCATATAATTTTTTATTTACAGATTCGCAAATTTTATAATAACTGGATGATAAATGAAGTTCATGAATTAACTCTAGCTAAACAAATCAAAAAACCTTCTTATTCTTTAGTATGTTCATAGGTAAAGAATGCATGAGAAAAAGTTAATCCAAATTTAATTTGTAAATCATTTAAGTGTTGTGAAATTTGAAGATGATGAGATTTTTGATTATGATAATCTTCTTATAGAAGATAAAAAAAATTTTAATGAAAATGATGGAGATAATGAATTACTTGGAGAAGGGGAGGATGGTGAAGATAATTATAATAATTAGGATGAATTTTAATAGTTGTAATTTGCAAATTAATGGTTTTTGCAAAATTTTTTTTTCCTCATGATTCCGGTACTTTTTGTATTAGTTTATCACTTGTTTAAGTTTTATAATGATGTTGTTAATAATTCCTTTATTATATATATAATTTGATAGTTTGAAAAAAAAAAAAATTAGATTTTAAATTTTTGCCGTCTTATTGGAATTTTAATAAAAAAAAAAGATTACTTAGCTTATAATATTATTTTATAATTTTAATACAGTAATTATAATAAAAATTCATTTATAAATTAATAAATAAAAATTAATAAAATCGCTTATTATTCATTCCAAAAAAAAACACCATGTAAAATACCTGGGTTTCTTACAAAATTTTGGCCCAAAACCCTAGAGGGTAGTTTATACATGGGGTAGTTTAATTAGTGTTTTACAGTATACCTATAATAATTAATTAACTAAATGAGACTTTCCAGTTGAAGAATTAAAGAGTAAAAACTTAAGAACTATTTCTTATAGTGATAACCCTTTAACTACTGAAAAGAAAAATAGGTTAGATGATTTGGAATTAGAAGATATAATAAAAAAAGTAGGATAGATGGTGATGCTCAAACTTGACTAGATGTTAAGTATCTTCTTGATAAAAGAAGTGAAGTGGAGAAACTAGATCTTAGTTCTTTAGGTTTACAAGAGGATTTATCACTAAAAGGATTTATTAATTTAAAAAATTTAAATTGTAGTGATAATGAACTAACTGATTTGAATTTGTATAAGTGTAAGAAATTGGTATATTTGGATTATTCAAATAATTATCAA